GCCTCTCCCTCCAGCAACAGGCAAGCAGGCAGGCAACCAGCCCGCCTGCCTGCCTGCCTGCCTGCGTGCACCGGCTCTGCCTGCATCTCCCTGCAGGAGCTGGTAACTGCGCGACCGGCTCCCTCCGCTCTGTCTCCTCCGGCACCCGGCGCCGGTGCTGCCAGACCCTGGATAGCCCAGCCGGGGCAGGCAGGCAGGCAGCAGGCAGGCAGGAGCACATTGCCTCACAGATGAGCATGCCGTGGGGTGGGAGCTCCAGGGGCGAGAGAGGAAGCCCTGCTCTTTCTCTGGCACCGAGTTTGCCCTGGGGAAGTCCTGGTACAGGCAGAGCTGGCAGGGGGCAGGCAGCATCAGGAGCAAGGAAATCCTGGCCTCTCCCGCACGCAGCAATCCTTGGCTTCCTTACACCTGGAAAGTCACTTCCTTGGCAAGTGGTGTTCCCTCAGCAAGTCCCAAGGCACTGGGAGGAGAACCGGTGGTGGAACAACGACACTGCTGCACCAATGTCCCTGGTGGCTCCTCAGACATTGACCCCTCGGCCAAAATGGATAGGAGGTCTCCTGCCAAAGCCCCTCACACTCCCCCTGTCCACTGGGTCCATGAGTCAGGAGGAGTGGGATGTCCAGGGCCTGAGCTTTGGGGAAGCAAGCCATGTCTCGCTGCACATTAACTGCTTATTCCTGGTTCTTCTGCTGCAATAGGATGCGACCGGACACCAACCGTGTTGTGTCTGTCATATCACTTTCCATCAGCTGCCATGTAATCGGATGTGAAGGATGCAGCTCGTGTGCTGCCCCTGCCTCCTCACCACTGGCCGGGGACATCAAAGGCAGCCCCGATTCCTGTGCCCTCTCTTACCTGGTGGTGGGTAGGCAAGACCACTGCTCCCCATTCTAGACTGGTGGGTACCCGGCTGTTACAATGAAGGCCCTGGTGTCTGGCTATCCACACCGTTCCAAATTTGCAAAGCCAAAGAGGCAGAAATCAAGATCTACCTCCTTCTCCAGCTGTATGGGAGCCGGTGATCTGGGACAGTTTCCAGTTCCCCATCTAAAACACTTCCTACCCTGTGCTTCAGGCCTTTGGTTTGGGTTGTGTTTGTAGCCACTGCTAGCTGGGGACAGCGTGACACCTTCCACGCTGGCACTTTTGAGTGATCCCATCCCTGTCTGGATTCTCACTGTTCTCAAAGAAGCGGATGGTGAAGGTCCACCAACCCACATATGCATGTCACTGTTTGTGATGCCACCAGCTGCTCCCAGCCTGGGGTTGCTCGGCCACCACGGAGAGAGGACCCCCATTGCTCTCTGCAGAGAGAAAGGTGTCTGCCTGGTGCTTCTCACCATTGTTCTCTGCTTGTGGCAGAGCTCCCTGGGCCTCTCTCAGCAGGGAAGCGGGTGAGCTACCTTGATGGCCTCCAGAAATGAAAGATGGACTGGGAATGGAGACCACAATGAGATGGCAAAGAGAGGAGATGGGGGATAACTCACCAACGTGTGCTTCTGCAGTCAAGACGTGCCCGGCCTGTTTGCACAAACCCCGCAGCAGGCTCAGGGCTGAGGTGACAGCAGCTGAGGACATGTGCACGCACCGGAGCTGGCTGGCTGCCGCTCTGGCCCACCCTGCCACTCCTGCCTGCGGCGGCACGCGCGGTGGCGACTGGCCCCCCCCCGGGCGCGGGGGGCCGCCCGCTCGCCCCCCCCCTGCCACTCCTGCCTGCGGCTGGGATGGTGGATGCTGGAGGAGAGGGGATGTCTTAACCAGATACATAGGGCAGGAGAAGATAGGTCTGGGAAACCACCTAGATGCCCACACAGCAGGCAGACGTGGCGGTGGCAAGCCTCACTGCTGCTCTTGGAGGTTTTACTGATACTTGCCACAAGATGGGGCTGGGTAATGCTGAAGGAAAGCTGCTTTCTCCCTGCCCGCCACCATGCCTTGTCCCACGGAGCCGTGTTATGAGCGTTATCTTGCCCAGGGCTCACTGGAGACTCTGGGAAAGGTTGCTAACACTGCCGACATCTCGAGGTATCACATTCAAAGCATCTTCTCTGGAAAAGCTGCTCCTGTCTCCGTACTGCTGCAATGCACAGTTGCTGGAAACCGTGTAGGTGGTTTTGCTTCTCCTTCTTTTTTGGTTTTGTGCTCCATGTTTGCCAACAGGAACACTCTGCTTCAGGAAGTGTTGAGAGCAAATTTGCTTTGAGTCTGGAAAGATCCATCTGCCCAGCCAGCTTGACCCCCCGTGTTGGTGAAGGAGTGGAAAACAGCACAGAAACCTCTGAATGAACCAGAGGCTCTGGCTTTCTAACACTCAGCTCTTGACCGAGCTTTGAGATCTTGGAAATGCCTTGTCAAAACAAATGGGGAGGAAGAACAAGGACCAAGGAGATGTCAGGGTGGGAAGGGACGGCTGTGCCCCATACAAGGTGTCTCCTATGTACTTAGGACCACGCTCCCTGGGCTGGGGTTTCTTTTGTTTGCTGGAAAAGAAACTCCTCCAGAAAAAGGAGCAAGTGGAGGCTTTGTGCTGCCTTGCAGAGCACGTCCACTGCCACTCCGGGCCAGCTTGGAGAGCTGGGTGGGCAGAAAACCATTGCTATCACCTACAGGGTTAGTCCCTGCAATGCTCTGCCAATGTGGCAGGGCTCGGCGCTGCTCCCTAACCTGTGACCGGTCTCTGCCCAACTTCTTCCTCCATAATCAGATTTCTTCGTCTATTAATTTCCTGGTTTCAACCATCACATAATTCCCAGCCTGTTGCCTCCTTGAGGACTTGTATCACTTGTGGGTGAGCCGGGCAGCTCCCCGTCGGTGCTGCCAGGGAGATGGCCATGCTTCCAGCCCTGTCCTGAGCCTCATCTGGCAGAGGCTGTGGGGCCTGTGCCAGGGTCCCCCTTGGTTCCCAGCTCATCATCTCCTTTACTCCACCATGAGCCCTGGCCCTCAGATGCTGCAGGGTCATGCCCCCATGGCTCCCCTGGATCTTGTGCCCCTTCACTCCCCAAACCCTGCCTGCCTGTGACCCTGGGCTCCATAACTACCCCTGGCCCTGGGGGCTCCTCAGCATTGACTCCTACCCCCTCCTCACCCAGCCTCTGGGGCATCTTTGTGACTCCCTGTCTCTGTCCCAGCTCCAAGACCCCATGCCATGTACCTGCCCTGGCTCCGTGTCACCCTGATGTAGTCCAATGGGTGACCCACAGCACCTGCAGCATAAGGGACACCTCCCTCCGTGAGGGATGTTGGTGGACCATCTGCCAGAGCTCTGTGAGCACCAGCAGGTCTTAGTGGCCCCGGCCAACCTCACCCTCTGCTCACGGCTCTGTGGGCTCCATTTAAGCTCATCCCCAAGCACCTAGGCTTGGTCTTAGGCTGTACCTTTACCTGTGTCTGTCTCTGTCCCTCTCTAACCTGCCTGTGCATGGGTGGACCTTGGACCTGCACTGCAGGTAGCCTTCTCCCCAGTCCTGTCTCCCAGATGGACCTTGGACCTACGCTGCAGCCTCGTTTCTTGTTCAGCCTCCATCTCCTGCTGCTCCTGGGCTCCCGCAGGCTGAACCATACTCCTTAGCTCACCTTGCCTGGGGCTGTCACCGAGACTGCCCATGCTGCCACCACCTCCTCCCTTGGGTGCTCCTTTAGGGAGGGACCCATGGCTCATCCTGTCCCCAGCTCTCGTTGCTCTTTGGCAGGGAGCTGGGATGGAAGGGGATGCTGTCACTCTGCTGAGCACTGAGTCTTGAGCACAGCAAATGCTCAATTACACACTGGATCTGTTTCGATACTAGAGATGAGTTATTTTTTTCCTTTTCAGCTTGAGCATCTCCATGGCTTCTCAACCAAACAAGAGGGTCTCCTTTCTGCTATCTCTTGCTGTCCTTAAGGCCATCACAGTCAGACTTACCTCTAGGGATACTCTGGCATTGGATGGCCATCAGTGCCCTGCTAAAAGTCAGTAACACTTTTGACCCTCCTAGCTATCCACTGGAGATGATGAGTGTCATCAAAGATAAGGCAGCTTTACCAGTTTTTGCTGGGTGAAAGTTTGCTCCTATGCTGCCCTGATTAGGTTTAGGCACTTTTCTCATAGAGCATAACAGCCAGCGTCTCTCCCTTCACACATCACTTATTCCCAGACCCGTGTTTTCAGGAGCAATGGATACAGACAAACTGGTATAAACCCACAGATGCTCATTTCTGCCTTTTGCTTTGATAGAGATGCAGAGCTGAGTTTCACAGTTGGTGAAACCTGGACCCAGGGATGTCCACAGCAACCTTCCTCCTGGCTGCAGAGCAGGCAGCCAATCTCCAGGTGAACTGACTTGTCCAAGTGGGCCAGTTTTGCGTCAGGGAGATTATTTTCTTCTGCCTGGGCTGCTGTCTCTTTCAACATTGATACACTCAGTTGTCCAAGTTCCTGCTGTGCCCTGCTTTGAGTGCTTGACCAGCATCTCAAAGCTTCCCTGCCTGCAGGTGAGCCCACATGAACAGGCGGGGACAGCCCCGGTCACATCCTATGTTGTTCACCCACAGGACTGCTGAACCACTTTGGTGCCTCGTGCCTTTCCTGCGCCAGGTGGGTTGTTGGACTGGAGACCTGCGGAGGTCCCTTCCCACCAAGACCTCCATGAGTCTGTGTACAGTGGGTGATGAGCAATCCAAGGCAGGTGAGCAGGGAAAGAACAGGTATAGCTGTATGGTTTTGCTTCTTGTTCAGTACAGCTCCAAGCACCTGATTTTGGGGCCTGGAGCTCAGGTAGGACATTCACACCCCCCTCCCTGCTGCATTCAGTAGTACCAGAGACACTCCTGGAGTATTCCTGGGTTTTAGGCTTGAAACATGTGCAATGCCCCAAGCCTGACTCTACCTTGCAGGAGATGCCTTACAAAGCCTATTTGCTTAAAGCTGCTCTAGGTCTTGCTCCATCTCTGACACAAAGTCCACCCCCAGTGGGTGGAAAGAGGTAAATCGGGTGGTTTTTCCCAGAGGAAAGCTGGTAGTAAGTATAGGACAGCAATGTAGAGCTGCCTGGCAAAGGCACTGGGGTTTGTAGGAGCTGGGGAGAAGTCCAGGAGGAGAGCACTGGGGGCAAAGAGGGGCTGGAGGGCTTTGGCCTAACAAGAGACCATGTGTGCGCTTCCCACATCTGGGCATGTCCCATGGGCTGTGGAAACTGCCTTCCCACAGCCCTGCCACCACTGAGACATGCAAGAGCTGGGGAGCCTGCGGTGCTGGCGGCTGGGACACCTTCCTCCCACAGCTTCCCTTCTCCACTTGATGGAGACACTGGAGTGCAATTTCCAGGGCTGAGCTGAATCTTTGCCTGCCTTATTAAGAAGCACGGCTAAATTACAGAGTCTCTCCGTATGGTCTAGGAAAAAAAAATGTATTAACACACTTCCCATCAAACTGACATCAGCTCTGCTGACCTGGGACATGTTTTATACTATTGGCTGCTTCTGCTTTGCCTCTTGGCAAGAAGCAATCACATTTCATTTCAAGAATTTATCCCTGGAATTTGCAAACGGCTTAAAAAAAAAAAAACCAACATACGTCTGAGTCTGGCTTTCTATCCTTAACAGCTCTGTCTGCAACGTGCTGGCATGTCAGGCGAGTCTTTCCAGTGAGAGGGTAGGAAAATCTCTGCAGTGGAGGCTGCACGGCTGTCAGGATGCTGAAGGGGTGACCAGGGAAGGGGGTGAGCTCCTGAGGACCATCGGTCCATGCTCCTCTGTACCCGCATGGGAATAAGAGCTGTTCACACAGCGCCAGGAGGTCAAGCTCTGCCCGATCAGTGCTGGAAATTGCTGTTTGACACTGACATCCTAAATGGGGTGTGAACGGTGAGTCAGCTGCATTTGGTGATGGTATGAGTTACTCATCCAGGGGAGGGTGGCGGGAAGGGGTCATAGGGGTCTTACAGGACAGAGCAATAAAACAGCAGGCTGTGTTCAGTGTAGCTTACTGTAAAAGTGATGCAGGTGGGAATATGCAGTCCCACGCAGACACATAAATCACGGGTCTCTGAGCTGAGCCTTACTGCTCGGGAGTGGCATCTTGTCCCTCAAAATGTCAACTCAGCAAGGATCAAAAAAAGGAAAGTGGTGAGAAAAGGTGGAGAGAAGAAAATAAAGGACATCATTTGGCACCAATATGAACCCACAGTTTTCTCATTGTCCTTCTTGTCTCAGAAAGGACGGAATGGAAGAGAAGGGCAAACAAGGACAATCAAAGATCCAAATGACCATGAGTGGTGGAAGCCAGGCTTTAAAACTAGATCAGAGGAGGCAGGGCTTTGTGCAGTGACAGCTGGGCTGTGCAACTCATTGCTAAATGGTGCTAAACATTTACAGGGATTCAAGGGGACCTGGAAGAGCATTACTAGGCAGGAATCATATCTGGCTGAGGAAACCTCCTGGGCTGGAAGTAGTTGGAGGCCAGGAAAGTCCTCAGGGAAAGTATCATATTTCCTTGCCCCTTCCTTAGGACAGACTCGCCTCCCACCACACCACCACTCTGTGCCGTGGCACATAGCCGCCTATACCACCAACCGTGAAAGCACATGGTTGTTTACCATAGTTTCCTGCCACTGGGACATAAACAGGCTTGATTTTTAAGACAAACTATTTATAGTAAAAAACAAACCATGGTTAGATGTGATGTCTCTGTGTCTGTTTTAACAGTCTGTCCTTTGTGTTCATGGTTGCCTGCCTCTGTCACCCCTGTTTTCACACAAGCAGCTGAAGGTCGCTCTTGGGTGGAAGAACAAAAGCTTTGGGCACCATTTACACAAGGAAATGCAAAGCAAGAGGTAACAGGCTGGCTGTTCCTGGATGGGGACCAGCAGGGAGATCAAGCTCTGGGAGGTGGGGAGGCTTATCCTGCAAAGCCCTGGAGCCATGGCACGCAGAGGTACCTGCAGGGTTAGGAAAAGGGGAGGTTTATTCCATGGAGCGGGACAATGAAGGATTTCATTGCATCTTTCTGCTCAGTTTTTTGTTTTTTTACTGGTGACTGCATGACAAAACATCTCAATGTTGAAACAGAGCAGTAATTCAGGTGCCTCCAGTTCCGTGTTGTCTCTGGCTGAGGCTGTCAGGCAGGACTACATCTCCCATGCTACACCAGCCTGACTGCTCCGGGAGGGGCTGGGGCTGGCAGGTGTGCTGCAGGAGGGACAACACAGCCACCAAGCATGATGCGTGGAGACCAGCAACGTGAGCCTGCGGGTGAACATTATCCTGCAGGCATTGCAGCAGGAGAGCAGCACAGGAACTGCTCTGAAGTTGTCATCTTTTGCAGGAAAAAGTGGCGGCCCATCAGCATGGTGGCTCACAGGATTTGGTGGCCCTCTGTGCACGCTGGCTAACGGGCACAGTGGCCCATAGGCACAGTGAGCTGTGAGCATGGCGACTGTTGGGGCACAATGGCTCCCCAGGCCCAGTGACCCTCTGGGCACAGTGACTTAAGGGGCACACTGCCTCCCCAGGCACGGTGACCCTCTGGGAACTGGCCCATGGGCACAGTAGCTCCCTGGGCAGGGTGGCCTGTGGGCAGGGTGTTTCCCAGGATTTGGTGGCTCCCTGGGGATGGTGGCCCACGGGCACAGGATTTGGTGGCTCCTTGTGGATGGTGACCCTCAGCGCACGGCGGTCCCCGCCGACGGTGGCAGCTGTCCCCTCTGCACGGCG